AAGATCAATGTAAACAAAACCGAAACAATGAAAGTTAGTAGACATTCTGCCCCACTACACATACAGCTGAATGGTTTTGCCCTGAATCAAGTTAGGGAGTTTAAAAATCTAGGAAGTATGATCACAGAAGATGGTAGAATTGACAGAGAAATAGAAACCAGATGTCAGAAAGCAAGTGCACTTATATACCAATTGTCACCATTATTAAGACATCCAAGCATAACTATGAGTGCAAAGAGACAGATTATTAATAGCATATTTATTCCAACATTAGGCTACCAGTGCCAAACATGGACACTATCTAAAGCCCATATACGCAAAATTACCACCTGCGAGATGCCTGAGAAAAGCAGCCAACCTAACCATCCGAGATCGAGTGAATAATGAAACTATCAGGCCAATTGTGGGAACAACACCTTGTACTAGATTCATCGAGAAACAGCAGATCAAGTGGTTTGGCCATCTCGTTAGAATGCAGCAAGATCAAATACCATCACAAGCACTACATCTAAGAAGATCAACTACAAGAGCAAGAGGACGGCCGCGGAAAACATGGATCGACAACATTAAAGACACTCTACGCCTTCACAGCATGACAATAGCCAGGGGCAGCCAACGTGCACTGGATCGCAAATTATTCCTCCCCACGACGCTTAACGACAGAAGTGGTTCATGATGATGATGATGATGATGATGCTTATTTGTTAGCTTACACACTACCACAGCTTAATAATTTAAAGAATAAATCTGATTTAAATAAAGTTTTGTATTCTATTTTACTTGCGTACTTTGATTATAAGCTAAATTAATTAATCCAGATGTAGCACTAGTGACATATTTTCAAGTCTGTCTTTATTCCTTTGACTTAGGATTCAGGTTCAGTGACATTCTAGTTTTATTATTCTTATCAGGGTTTCTCAATGTGTTTCTATCCAAGGCTAGTGTCTTTTCCTCATTCATCTCTTGTAAAAAGTCAAGTAAAGGACTTTCAATAGTCAGTTTGTCTAGTTTTGTTCTCTCCCTAAGCTCTATGCCCCATTACAATTAGTAATTATATCACGCCATTTAATTCTTTCTAGTCTGCATAGGCACCAGTTAATGACTGACTGACTGACTTTCTACCCCACTAGGACATCACACAAGCGATAAACACCCGATGACACAAAGTGCCACCATGCGGATGAGGATCACCGTGGAGAGGTCCCAGAAACCGCGTTCAGACAATTGGCCATATTGATGGCCTGCCTATATTGCGGCCCCTGGCAAAAGCCAGAGTGGGGCTTCAAATAAGAAAAAATTACGTCCTGAGAAGGACGTAAGTAAGTATATACCAGTTAATGAGTGTTTGTAGTTTTGAAGTAAAGTTTTGGCTGCTAACTGGCAACCTTGAACATACTGAGAGAATTTCACAACATGCGAGCTGAGATCTCAAGTCCCTTGAGGCTGCCACAACAAATTGGTTTTACTGAGATCCCTCCCTTGTAATTTTCCAAGGAGGCTATGCGGCCCTTTTTTGCATGTAAAATATGTGTGTTCACCTCTCTTAAGTTTTTTGTCTCTGTGTCAGCCTGCTTGACATCAATACTAGAGTGAAGCGCGGACCAATGTCAGCATGGGCATACACAGCGCAAAGAAGGGGGAAACAATTCACGAGGACAGCGGCGCTTACCAGACAACTACGTCAAGCATGTCCATAGAAATAGCCGCTACTTTTAGAGCTTTAGCATGGGTATCCGAGCAAACCGCCACACAGGCAGTAATTGTATCAGACTGCATGAATATGCTTCAGAAGATAGCTTCAGAATATAGCAACAGGCGGTATGTGCTCTGAATGGTAGAAAGCATTTAAAAATCGCACTTAACCTCCCTCACCTGGATCTACACACCAGGTTATGTGTGGGTAAAGGGACATGAGCGTGAGGACCAACTGGCAAGCACTGCACAAAGGATTACGGGAAAAAGCATGGACAGAGCAGATATTGTCAACCCTGTACGGACTGGGCTGGTGGATAATGAGGAATCCCTGACATGAGAGTAAAGCACGGTGAAGCACGTCTATGCCGTCTTCGAAGCCGAGATAGGAGATAATATAACCATCATGGGAACAATTAGTAGAAGTACTTTGGAGTGGCTGCTACATCGAAGGACTGAGCATGCATGGGAATGCCCAATGTGCAGTGACGTCGATTGTGATAACATAACAAAACATAACATAACATGAGTGCTAAGCGGGAAGGCAAAGAAGAATAGTAAACCAGCTCAAGGAGTCATCACTCAGTGCATGCTAAGGGCATGAATAACTATGCATTGAGACTGAATCAGCTGATTTGATGTGTCCCATTGTTGAGAATTATCTCTCAGCTGACTAGTCTTTGAAGGCCTGTCCCTTCATGCCTTTCCCTTGTGGGTTCAGGGGCACCCATTGTGAGGAATACAAGAATAGATCCACTGCCTTCCCAACAAGCATGTCGTAGAAGTCGACTAATTGGGGGCTTCCTTCAAATTCGGATTGCATCTGCCCAAGAGACATTAGAACAACAGTCTGCATACAAATAAGCTATATCTGTAAAACAGACGTGCATGCAACACTTATGTTCTGGAATAAGAACCAAAGTCCGGAGGTGGATGAAAACTAGGGTTTACAGCCGGTGAACATGAAGAAGAAAAAGACTTCATGCCTTTATGGCAGTATATGTGGTGAAGCTGTGTTCAGCATTAAAACATTTTTGTAGTGACCGTGGGCAGTAAGTACAGTAAAGGACCCATTTTATCCAGGTGGCACATTGAGCATATGAGATACGCTATTTTTTTTTTTTTTGTAAAGACCAATCGGCACTCAATGGGTGATGTTGTTGACATAATGCCAGCTGCTGCCTTTACTTCCCAGGTCATTACCTGGTACCCTTTAGGCTAGTAGCTCTCAACCTTCCTAATGTTGCGACCCTTTAAAAAGTTCTTCATGTTATGGCGACCCCCAACCGTACAATTATTTTCGTTGCTTTCATAACTTCAATGAATATGTGTGTTTTGATGGTCTTTGGTGACCCTGTGAAAACCAAAGAGGGCCGCAAATCACAGGTTGAGAACCGCTGCTTTAAGCTGTGTTGACCTTAGAGTCGAAGGTCAATTTTGAAAGAAAAAAATTTATCTGATGCAAATTTGAACCTAGTGCCGGCAGGCATATATCTAACTACTATGCTTCCCCAGCTCCCGGTGTTGACCATATTCATTGTTTAATATATTTCCCAGCTGAACTATATACTTCAGAATCGAAAGGGGATGATGTGACTGGTGATGGCACTAAAGAGAAGCCATTGAAAACAGTTTTGCAGGTAAATTGTTTATGTGTAGGAAAGATTCTATATATATATAGATTTTATATATATGAATCTTCTGTGATATATATATATATATTTGGTATATATATATATATATATATATATATATATATATATATATATATATATATATATATATATATATATATATATAACATGCTGGATTGATGACGAACATTCATTATCATTATCAGCAGTTGGCAATGTTGAAATAATGGATTAAACAACAATCGTTGGCATAAGAGTAGGGATAGTAAAAATGTAAGATAAACTTTGAGTCCCTATAGAAGTTTGGGCTCGACCGCTGCAAACAAGAAAATGTTTGTAAAAATAAATAATATTTGTTGAGAATACTATGTTTTCTGCTTCTTGAAAAATTAGAGCGTTTTTTTGATTGGCTTCAAGGTTTTTTTTCCTACTGAAATAAGGACTGGAATCGATCTGTTATTTTTTAGGATAGTCGGAGTGGGGGGGGGGGGGGGGGGGGGCTGAGTGGTCTTGAGGTAGGGCGTCTTGAGTGCTGGAGGTCCTGGTTTCAAACATCCAGTGGAGGCTGGGAATATTTCACATAGACTTGGGCACGTAAAAAATCCCTTGACAGTTGAAAATCAAAAAGAGTAGCCTAATGGCGCAGCCCACTCAAAATTTGGAGTTAAAATCTACAAGGTGTATTCCTCGCCGGTGCTACAGTGTTCGTGCACTGCGCTGAGATTCTTCGTACTCCGACTTGAGTTAGAAGAAGAACGGAGTACTTATGGGTGCTTTGATGTTGATCCGTTGTTCAAACCTCAAACCTCGAATAAACATAAACGAGGATAGTGGAACATCAAGATACGAGTGTACTGGGTATGCGTTCAAGAGTTCAGGTCCGACAATATTTTTGCCTCAGAATACGAGGCGAAAACCAGGATTCGAGCTGGAGAGACAAGGCAAGCATTATCCGACAGCATCGCAGGAACTTTAGAACGGATTAGGTCACATTAACATTACCAAAGGAGGACTGCAATAACAGGTAATTCGGATTTGTTTTCTGAAGATGAAGATAGTGGGTTAATGGGAGTATCCTGAGTGCTATGTCACTATAATGTAAATTCCTAACTCAAATTCTTATTCGTCGTCTAACTGTTCCTCTTTTTCTTTCATTACACAACAACAAAAATATTCCATGTCTCATAAATTTAGGGAAAGAAGTAGAGGAAGAAAACGCGAGAAGATTCTTGACAGTATTTTGTCATGATACGGAAGTGTATCAGCACTGATACATGCTGTTGGAGTTTGCAGATTGTGGAAAGCTGTGATCACCTATGCCGGTCGTCAAGGCACTTTATGATGATGGACTGTGGCATCATGGTTACAAAAAACCCTCGTTTTCCACAACCCCTCCCCCACCCCCTCCTCCCCCAAAAAGTGCCACACATTTCCCTTGCTAATGAAATTAAAAATTTGATTTTACAAAATAATTTATATTTACACCATTTGATAAGGTGATTTTCGGAGAACTGAAACGTATCAGTTATTGACATTTATTTTAAAAGGAGAAATGGTTTCAGGACATAAGTTATTCACCAGAACAGATTAAATCTGCATCTTGAGGTTCCTCTGTACATAAAATTTGTTACAGTTTTCTGCTTGTTTGTAACACTATATGTTTTACTTTTATAGGCAATGCGCCTCGCTGGAAAAGAACCCTTCCCTGTCATTTACTGTGACTCTAAAAAAGAGGGAGAGGTAAGTTTTACAGTTGACACAATTGCACCATTACACTAGATTGGTTGTCTACTTCTCACACTTGTCTCATATTTAGCAGTGCATGCGGTTAATTATTGTGTATCACTTCTCTATTATGTTGTCAAGCATGAATGTTGAAGTTTTTTTTTCATCACTGATTGTCTTTCATGAGATAACAAAACTAAATTTGTTTCCTTTATTTTTGAAGGTTTATGAGCCTGTTACAAAGTCTCAGCTGAAAAAGATTCAGAAAATCTGGCAGAGAGAGCAACACAAGACGACTGAAGTGGAAGAAGATGCTGTAAGTTTATGTATATGACCAGAAATGTCTCATAACGTGAAAACTATACTAAGAAAGTTTTTTCAATGCAGAAAAACCTTAGCTGTTATAACAGACTGCGTGGCGCGGTGATTTCGGTCACAGGCATGAGGGGAAGTTAAGTCTGATGTGATGTGTATAAGGAGATATTCCGTACCCCACTCGGGCGCCAGTCCTTCACTGTTCTGGTTTTACGGAACCTCATGCAAGACTCCTGTTGCACGTCCCCGTCGTGCGCCACGGATAATGTCTCAAATGAGCATTAACAGAGTTGGCAGGGGATCTCGGAGCTGGCGGCCCCTAGAGGTGTAGAGTCCTTTCTGGCTCTCACCAGCCCGCCCCCAAACGCATGGGTGAAAAGTAACAAAACTCAAGGATTGCTTGCTAAATGTACCATCAAATGACAACTCTTGGTTAAAATTCGGGAGCGAATGGAAAACTGCTGCTGAGACTCAACCCTGACCGAGAGATTTACCCGCAGCCAAGACGAGTAACATCTCTTGTGGGCGACTTCTCGCAGCAAGATCCTACCTACGTACATCCTCTGTCAATCCTCAGTGTCGTTGTCACCGCGCTGAGGTACACCATGGCAGCAACTCTTCATATGCTGGCTTGAAAACAATGTCCGACAAAGTTACACCCACGGCACAGCAAGCTCAAACGTCCGACGATCATAACTCGTACCGATTAGGAAAAGTCTGAATGTCCGTACCACTGGTCCACTCCGAGTGTTGGGACCAAACAGGTGCGCCACGCCTGACGCACATTCGAAGCATTCTGCACAGAAACAACGTTAAAGGTGTCTAACGTAAGATGAAAAAGAATGTACCTATTTGTGTGGCCACAAACGTCCTAGACCTGGGGCTGCTCCCCGCTGATCTCCGGAGAGCGCAGCCTTGTAGCGCGGGAAGCTCACTACACTGTTGTGAGGTAAGCAGTCATGGGCAGGACGTGACGATTCCTTGGGTGAGCCCAGAACCAGAGCATCATGTGTGGCTCGCATTTATGGAAGCCTCCACGGGGAACATCTGAAAACTAGAGCTCATGCCGGGGGCCACACCTGCTAAAAGTCAAAGAGGACACCACTCATAAGGCAACATCTGCTGGATTGACAGGCATGCCTCTCCATACTGAACCTTCATTTGCCAATAAATTTCTATAGGTTCATCGTTTCACTGATAGAAACAATGGATAATAGAACGCTGCTCCTCTTTGGTGCATGTCCAGAGTGGGGTGGCCATCTTTATACTGTTATTTTGATGTCACCTTGTCCTTAATAACAGTATTGACAGTTACAAGACAATGGTATGGTTAGTGTAATTTCTGTCACATTTTAAAGGTTTTGATTTGAAACCTCCTCGGATATACACACATTGGGCCTGAAGGTCGTGGGTTAAGATCCACATCGAGTCAGATTTGTTCAACATGACCTTGGCTGTCAGGTCAATTTAGCCTAAATGGGTACCGGGTAAAGTCCCAAAGTAAAAGCAGCCGCCATGTTGTTGACTACATCAGCCACTGAGTGCCAGTTGGTAAAATATAGCACTCTGTACCCAACAAATCTTACGACGTGCAAAAGGTCATACTATTGTGGGTCATATAGGAATGCACACACATTACCATCCGCTCACACACATCACCATCCACTTGCGCACATTACCATCCACTCACACACGCTGAAAGAAGGTAATTGTAATCATTATCACATATTTTATTTCTTGCAGGAAAAAGATGCTGATCGAAGGGAGAAAAATCTGGAAGAAGCAAAGAAAATAGTAATTGAGAATGATCCCACTTTACCAGCACCAACTCAGGTAGACTCCATTTTAATCAATTAATCCCATGTTAATTTTTTTAACTGTTTGTGCGGATTTGTGATATTTTTATTTTGTTGATTTTGCATTGTTACTGGTTTAATAATTGAACCACTGATGCTGTTTTCTAACTTGGTTACATTGAATTTATTTAGAATACCATTTTCTTGAGATAGTTTTGCTTCATAGTTTCTAGGTACTTAGTCCTTTGGATAATTTCCCCAGAACATGTAAGTGTATTGTTAAATGAACAGGCAGGCAGGTTGGCTGGTTCCACATCACTTGGTGGTGAAATGATGCATGACATGCCAGATAATCTAAAATGTTAGCAAGGCCAGTTGGAAGCAAGTGATCAATGCAGATCATCACGGTCTGAAGATAATTGTGCAGCTGGTAGTGACAGGGGAATCTAGCCGCTGACGCTCATCATTCCAGGAAAAGGCAAGAGGGACATACAATCAGACTGTTACTAGTACCATTGGAATTGGAACTGTGCGCTGACTGCTGAAAGTGGGACAGGACATTTATGGGAATGCCTCAAGTGCTGTGATTTCAGATTTCAGCTCAGCTCAGTTTCTTTATGTGTGCTTAGCAAAAAACAGCTTATTTTATTGTATTCTAGGTTGTCTGTTCAGCTGTTAAATACCTCAGACTAGTCAGTTTAAAGAAAGATAATTTAATCAGTAACTGACTGTCCATTAACTAGGATAGGACACATAAATGGGAAAAATCTGTGTATGAATAACTTGGAGAATAAAAAAAAAAAAAACACATTAAAATCCTTTGCACACTGTAATAGCCAAAAACTACCTTCACACATTAAGATGTGAAATATGAAGTTTCCTTTGTTAGGGATTAGCTGTTGTAAGTGATATAAATCTTCCTAATAATTGAAGGTTAAATTGGAGTACATTGTTTCAAGATTGGGCAAGATCTGTGACCATCTGAATTAAAACTTTCAGACACTGAAATCCAATGGAGGAATATCAAAATCAAATAAAGACTATCCTCCGAATAACGGTCCCAAATTTTTTATATACCCTAACTGGGCCCCAGTCACGTGTAAATTTTAGACTTCCGGCGACTTAAATTGCAGACTTCCAGCGACTACCGCCACCGCCAAGATTATTTCCTGTGCCGCTATGTGCAGTGCGGAGCAGGGCTAAACTAGATGGCTGGGACTCACGAGCAGCAGCTACTGCATCTCCTGCAGCTTCCTTCATGAGTCTAAGCCATCTAGTTATGCCCCAATCCGTGCCGCTATGCGCAGCGCAGGAGATACTCTCAGCAGTGGCGGCAGTTGCCAGAAGTTCGCAATTTACATATGACTAAGGCCCTGTTAGGGTATATTTTCGGCCTTAATATTTTTTTGACCTTTATTTGGAGGATAGCCCTCCCAAAAATATATGACACAGAGGTTCTTGTTTTAATAGTTCATATTATTATAAACCAGCTAGAAATTGTTATGACTAGTGGTTTGCATTGACTGCACTGTTATTTATTGAATCAGATATAATAATATTTATGATGACCTGTTATATACTCAGTATTTTTTTTTCTCTAGACACCAATACATATACTTTGGTCTGTAGTAGTAAGACAACTAAATGTTATAATGATTTATGTTGCAGATTAAAATTCGATCAGCAGTCCAAAACCGGGATAAGAGAGTGAAAATATTTGGATGGGTCCACCGCTTGAGACGACAAGGTATGGCACTACTGAGCACCATTTGAGGATCAAAATGGTTTTTACGTTTTATTTAAAAGGCATCATGACTGTAATCATTATTTGCCAGATACATATACCTCTCTGGGGCTAAATAAGATATACACAGTGTCTCATTTGTCCGGTGAAAGCCTACAGAAATCACACTCAGCAGAGTTACAACTATGATGCAGAAGTTCAAGCTATCAAGATAGCAGCAGAGAAACTACTAAACACTAGGTATTTCTCACAACCAATGGTATTCCTGACAGATGCAGTAGCAGTACTTCAGGAACTCGAGTCTGGAAAATTACCAGGTATACTGACGCTACTATCTGAACTAGGCAACCGATGTAAGATAGTTATGCAATGGATATCATCCCACTGTGGAGTACCCGTAATGAAAGAGCTGATAAACTAGCTAAGGAAGGTGCAACTGAAGAACAACCCGACGTACCAGTCTCTTATCAACAGAAGAAGAGAATAATCAAATCAATCAGAAAGCCAAAGAGAGTGGCACAGAACGATTACCATATTATGGACAGACCAGAGCAAGTTATTATCCTACGCATTAGAACAGGCCATAATCGACTTCGCAGCCACATGTATACAGTATTTAAGATTGGCAAATCAGCCATGTGCGCCTGTGGACTGGCACCTGAGACAGTTTATTTCATCCTCCAAGACTGTCCTAAATATGTCCCAGACAAAACTTCTGGCCTAGTGAGACACTGGTGGAAGTCAAACTTTACGGGCCGCTAAGGGAATTACACAAGACAGTGATGTTTTTACCAGAGACAGCATTGCACATATAGATAATTTATTTCAAGCGAACAAAAGAAGAAGAAGAACACTCAGCATCTAGTTATGAAATGAAGTAGGCTTAACAAAAGTGACAGATAAATCATAGTTAGTTAAAATGCAAAACAACATTGTTGAAATACCACAGAAAATGTGCTTCAGTATGTTTGGAATCATCAGCTTATGCCAGGCGATAAGGGTAGGCTGTCATGTTTTGATATCTGACATGATCACCAGGGTCATGGATCAGGTCTGTGATCTTCTTGACCCCATCCCTATGGCCAAACCATCAAGGTATTTATCTTTTTGCCTTCCTCTTGCCATCAGTCTTGGCAGTGGTTACCAGGTTCTCAAATTCCTTCCTTCTCCTAACATTTATGAAGACCACAGATGGTCTCCATCTTGTTTTTTGACAGTTTATGCTTTCATCTCTGTTAAGGAGAACTACATTGTTGTTTTTCTATCATGCCTTGATATGTTTGGGATGCTTTGTATTTGTGTTTCATTTGAAAAAAAATTGTTAAATATAAACTGAATGTTGTATGCAGTGACACAAACACACACAGGCACTGAATATTTGCTTATCACTTTAGGAAAAAATCTGATGTTCGTAGTGCTACGGGATGGCACTGGATTCCTACAGTGTGTCATGGCTGACAAAATGGTAAATGTTATATATTTTTTTTTCACAGCATAGTGAACATGGCATGCATTATTTTCAATAGTTCTTTTAGTTTAATGGGTGTCTTGATGCCAGCATGTTGAGTTGACACGGGACAGTCTGTATATAATCCCTTGCCTGAAAGTATAATGGATACTACAAGTTCTAATTGCAGTCTACAATAACTGTGTCTCTCTGTAATCAGTGTCTCAGGATAACCATGAAAGAAGGAGAATATATAAATGTTAAATTAAGAATCAACATTTTAGCACCTGGGGACACTCCCTTAAGCACTCTGCCACCATCTTCAGCAGCAAAAGAAGAGTTCCAGTTCCAATGGTACCAGTAACTGTTTGATTGCACATCTGCTTGTCTTTCCCTTGAGTGTTGAGCGTCGTCCAGATCCCCTGGTAACTCCCTGTAGCGCTATTCTCCTCCAGCCGTAAGGATCTACATGTGCCTCAGCACTGTTCACTTGCTCCCAAAGGCCCATCATAACCTCTAGCTTGTCATGCATCAATTCACCATCTAGTGCAGATGTGACCAGTCTGTCTGCCTGCTCGTTTCCCAATACAGCAGCATGACCTGAAGGAAAAGGAGAATATATGTATTGGTTTAAAAATATACATCAATTTTCTACAAAATCCACACACATCTCTATTTTTATTCCACCTATTATCGTCTCATAATTCTCATCAGTAATTTTATTACATGACTCTTTAAACTAACTGTGTGATGTTCTCCACATTGTACCATGTATCTTTGGCAAAGGAATGACAAAAGGTTTCAGAGGGTCATTAAGTAAATGTCAACTTGTGTAGATGTCCTTCAACAATGATCAACAATGATATAAACACTTCTATACCCAGTTCACTAACAGCTTATTTATTCTTTAATGGAGATGTTATCTGGCTCTGAGGATTTACATTTTATTTTTTGTTGTGTAGCCTCCTCCACTTCTGCTTTCAGTATTGATATTGGTGGTCTTGAGTGTTTGTTTCTAGTCTGCTGTTATCCTCATATATCTACTTACTTACTTTTACTTAGTTGCTCCTCTTCTACCTTGGGGTATAGAGTTTGTCAGACAGATCACCAGACTTCTCTATTGGCAGTTTTCTTTCTGGCTTTGTTCCATTCCGGTCCTCTGTTAGTTAAGAACTGTCAAATGTTGTCTTCCCAGAGCACCCTGGGTCGTCCTGGAGGTCTGGCTCCCTAGTTCTTTGCCTCCCATGCCTGCCATGGTGGTCGATTTTCTCCCATTCTGCATACATGTCCAAACCATCGTAACTGTGACAAATTCACTCGGGTTTGTAAGGATTAGTTATCAAGATCTTGACATATTGTCTGATTGCGGACTTCGCCCCTTCCTGTCACTTGGACCACCTTTCTCAGATATCTTATTTGAGAGGTCTAAAGCTAACTTCTGTGAGCTGTTGTCATTGCCCATAACTCGCACCCATAGGTCAGGACTGGCACATAGGTAGAGAGGTAAACAGCCATTTTTGTCCTCCTGACAGTTTCTCATTTGCTAAGAAGCCTTCGGTTTATGACCTGGAAGAGTCTCCCAGCAGCTGCTTTTCGTGTATCCATCTCAATCTTAATGCCTCTGTTTCTGTCTATTACAACTCCAAGGTATTTGAACTGTCATCATATATCTCTTGTATAAAGCTCTGTCCATCTTTCAATAACCTTCTGTTTGTCCATTAGTAAACCTTCATTTATTTTCTATCTCCTAGTTGTTGTATGTTTGTCATCTTCACATGGAAGGTCCAATAAAATGGATCTTCCTCATTGTTTCGCTGTGTGATAGTACAGTCATCGCATCCTCTTTTCTATCCATCTGTTAATACATCCATATGTTAATATCTTTTCATTTCAACTCCTCTAGCATCTTTTTCATTCAACATTTTGAATAATGCTACATATATATGCACAGAATATGTTATGTATTAATAATGGCCTCATGTCGTAATTCTCTTTTCATTCCAAGATTGTTTGGGATTTCTATATTATTCTTTCTTCCCACAATATCTGAAGGTACTGTCTTTTTTAATAATTTTTTTGACTCGGTTCTGTTATGTTAATAGAGTCAGACTTATGAAGCGGTGACGCTTGCTACTGAGGCATCCATTGCAGTTTACGGTGTTATCAAGGAGCTGCCAAAAGGGAAGACTGTAAGTGTGCCTTAGAAATTCTTAATTATTATTTTTTCTTTCTCAGAATTCATTGATTTCTAGAAAGCATCTAGTCATAATACTATTTGCATTTATATATTTGGTAACTGTTTGTGTAAATGCAGTTTCTTGTTATATGTTTGTATTTGTAGTTAGTCAAGATGAGGTTAGGACATTTTAAAGTGACACTCTTGGCTACATGAAACAATAACTGTGGACACCTTATTCTTTCAGGCACCAGACAACCATGAAATGGCTGTGGACTTCTGGGAGTTGATAGGCCCCTCACCTGCAGGTGGCGCAGACAATCTGTTGAACGAGGTAAACTTAATGCTGAATTTTCCTTGTGGGAATATGTTTTGTTTTCCACTGGAAATGGAAAGCAGTGGCAAACTACTTTACATATAATTTGGCTAGAAAAACCCCAACAGCCAAAAATTGATGGGCTTGGTTTTGCAATGTCCTGTAAAGGATACACAGCTAACTTAACTCCACTGGGTGATAAAAGGCGTGGTTTGATCTTTTTATCATCTTTTGAGGGTTTCAGCGGGAGTATCCTGAGCACGCCTCTTAGCCGTAGCATTGGTGTTGGATGACAGTGTCTGACAATTATTCACATGTTTGTGTTGTAAAACAGTTAAAATAAAAATGGAAACACCCACAATTTTTCCTTTTCTAGGAGGCCCACCCAGATGTTCAGCTGGACAACAGGCATATGATGGTGCGAGGAGAAAACGTAAGTACGGCTAAAATACTTGTGTGTTTTTGCAGTTAGGTTCAGATTAGCTTCCTGTTTATTTTTAACAGAAAACTTGTCTCCACAGCCTACATTTATCACTTTATAGGGCCTTGTATTAGGGGGGGGGGGGGAGGGGGGTAATCATGACAATTTGAGGCTTCATGCTTAGAGCAGTCATCACAAACTGCATGTTAGGATTTTATTTTTGCCAGCAACAACAAAGGAATCCATCATCTTAGTGAGGATTCGAACCTAGAGCCTGGCATTCTTAACCACTCACTCCTCTGTTTATTGTTTAAAGCTAAGTAGTCTGTGTGTTCCTTATGATTATTAGTGCTGTTTTATGAAAACAAGAGAGAAAACACTCCATACTGTGTGGTCATATATTGTTTTCAAGCTTGTGGCCAAAACCAGCTGAGTATACTACTTATGAATATAATCTCATCAGAACATTCAGAGATAGTTTTGAAACAACTGTCTATGTCTTATTCCATTTGGGGTAAATTTGATATTGGTTTGTATTAGTTCAGTAATCTTCTTCTTCTTCTTCGCGTTCACCAGCTGTACACTCTGGCGGAAAGTTCTGGTTGCTCGTCAACTTTTGAACTGCAGTCCTGCTCCAGAACATGAGTGTTGCATGTGCATCAGTTTTACAGATCTGATTCACTTGAATAAAGACTGTTGGTTCCTTGCCTCTCTGGCAGATGCACTCTGACTTCAAAGGAAGCTTCCCAGTTAGTCGACTCTTATGACGACATGCTTTTAGGGAGGCAGTGGGTCTATTCTTGTTTTCCCCACAATGGGGCCCTGGAACCTATCATCCAATTGACAAAGTTTATTCTAAGACATCATCCTATTCACTGAGTTTATTCTAGAGACATCATCCTATTGACTAAGTTTATTCTAGAGACATCATCAAATTGACTGAGTTTATTCTAGAGACATCATTATATTGACTGAGTGATGTAGAGATGTAATTTTATTCATTCAGTATTATTAAATAAATATCTTTTTATAAAAAAAAAAACATAAATATCTCATTCACAGACGGCCAAAATTTTGAAGATGAGGTCAGTTATAACTAATTGCTTCAGGGAGCATTTTTTTGATCGTGGTTACTTTGAAGTTTTTCCTCCAACACTTGTCCAGACTCAAGTAGAAGGAGGCTCTACACTGTTCAAGATGGACTTCTTTGGAGAAAATGTGAGCATAACAGAACATAGAACAGTTTTGTAGTGTGTTCTGATTATTAAATGTTGCAACAACAAAAAAAAATGAGTGCTTGCATAATGAATTGTCTTGTGCAGATTATACTTTATTCCCAGGTGTAATAAAATAGTGTACAATGCAACATACATTTATAATGTACATAATGTAATCATTGACTCGCTAGGGTCTTGGAAGTGTATCCATGGAAGCACTACCAAACAAAACACCCCATCTTTCTGTCTTTTGATTGTTGAACAAATGTATTGTAATTTAGTCCTATCCATTTCTTGATGTTGAAATTCCAGATTCTTCTTTGCCCCATCCCCCCCCCCCCCTTTCTTCGACTACCTCCCAGTGTTTCTTGAAGTCTAATCTTTGCAATCAAATCATATCTCGATACACAGTACAGTTGGATAGATCGTGTGGTAAAAACATATGTATTAGCAACCACGGAAATAAGATGCTTGAGAAAGTCTGTGAGATTGACCAGATGAGATAAAGTCAGGAATGAGGTCATAAGTGAAAAACTATAACTATTGAATCAGTACATACAGAGACAGCAAAAGATGGTTTGCCCACTTAAAGATAATGTCTTGTGATGCCGTACTATGCATTTGTATACCCAAAGAGTAGAGGAACGTAGAGCTCAAAGAAGAAAGGTGGGAAGCTAACATCAGAATAACTCTTTAGCAGTATCAAGTGCCACCAGGAAAACCATTTATCTCCCTCGACACCTCAACCTCTAGATTATAGAACAATTAGTTTGATGAGCCATATAACTAAAATACTTCTTAGGATCATTTAAGAAAGAATTCAAAGTAAAATAAATAATGAAGTGTCTGAAGAACAGTTTAGATTTAGGAACAATAATGGCACTAGGGAAGCCATAATTTATTTTAAGATGCTGACTGAAAAATGTATAGAAATCCCCAAAAAAGTATGCATGTTTCATAGATTACATGAAGGTCTTTGACAGAGTGCAACATAAAAAGCTTATTGCCTGCCTCCAAAATATAGGATTAGATGGAAAGGGTGTCAGAATTATTAGTAACCTATACTGGGAACAAACAGCAACAGTTAGACACAACATCACCTCTCCACAGATAGAGATAAAATGAGGAGTACGTCAGGCATGTGTGTTTTATTCCCAAACATTTTCAACTTATATACAGTAAATATTTTTAAACAGGTTGAGGAATTGCCAGGACTGAATATTAATGGAAGAGCAAAAAAAAAAAAAAAAAAAAAAAAAAAAATATCTCATTGTTCTTGTTGTAGCGGTCTAAAGTGGGTACCAGGTAATGTCCTAGGAAGTCAAGGAGGCAGGTCACATCACAGATTGAGTGCCAAATGTCTAACAATTTAGGTGCAGCATTGTTTGCTCAGTCCCCGTAGCGGAGCGGCTAGAGGCTCACCGCTGATCGGAAGGTAAGGTCGTGGGTACACTCCCTGAAGGAGCTGGACTATTTTCAAAAATGACCTTGGCTGCCAGGTCAACCCAGCCTTGAGTGGGTACCAGGTGCAGTCTCGGGAAGTAGAGGCGGCCGGCGTGATGCTGACCATATCACCCATCTTGTGCCGATTGCTCTATAAAAATATAGTTCTAGCCCTATATGCCTAAAGACGTGGAAAAGGGTCCTTTACTTTCTTACTTTACTTATTATTTGCTCAGTTAAAAAAGGTCCATTGCTTACTTTGTGTGTTATAAATGAGGTGAGCAGAGAGGTAATTTTCAACCTGACAGTTTAGATCTCTGTTACTAATGCAGTCACCACAAAATGTCCTGGTTACGAACTTATTTTCGCCCCAACAGAAAAATCCATTACTCTCATTTGTTTTAATGAGAGTACTAAATAGAACATAAAATATCACCAGATAGCTCAGTGTGGAGGGAATGGAAAAGACACGCACAAATACAACCAAACGTTTTGACTGAAGTCTTTATCAACACAAACGGTAACTTTAAAACTCAACGGAGAAGACGAGAGTGTGGAACGACCAACGTCAACAGGGTTGTATTTGTGTGGGGCGTTTTTTCATTCCCTCTTGGCAGCTTTTTAGTCATCTTTTATGTTGTTTTTGCACTTCTTGTCTTCAGCTCGACTGCAGTCATCCCCCATTTATGTTATCACTTTAGATATCTGAATAAGAACCCATTGTTTGAGCACTTGGTCAGATGCTGCTCAAGCAGTTTGTGCCTCTGTGAAAGTCTTGTACTTGTGCATTAGATTTTATGTCTGTTGTTTCCTTTAAGCATCTGCTGTGAAATTCTCTAGAACTGAAAGAGTAAAGAAACCATAATTAATGTGCGTTTAAATTATGTATATGGAGAAATAATATAGGTGAAAGGTGTGTTTAAATTAAATTATGTAACAAAGTTTTCATTATGTTATCATACCTGATATTTTTGCACGGTCATCTGATGCAGCAGCCACTCCAATTGTTGTCTCCTATCTTTTTGAAGATGGCATAGATGTGCTTTGCCAGGCTTTACTCCCAGGTAATTGTAGTAGCATCAGAGACTCATCAGTTTTCACCCAACTCTTCTGTACATTGTTGATGATATCAGCTCTGGAGTTTAGAATCTACCCAAAGTATTTCACGATCCTCGCCGGTGCTAAGGAGTTCGTGCACTGTGCTGAGATTCTTCAGACTCAGTCTTTAGTCAGATGTAGAACTGAGCACTAATGGGTTACTACCCTTGTGCCATGATGTTGTTCCGTTGTCTAAACATAAACCTGCATGGAAAGGGTAAACAGTTAAACTGTATCCATTTGTACTGGATACATCAAACTCCACAGCCTTATGTACATGTTTGTAAAAAGAGTTTATGTGAATGTTAATGTACACAAAAATTAGCTTTGTGAGTAATGTATTTTTTATATTTGCGTAATGTTTCTCTTTGTTGTCACCTCAGGCCTACTTAACTCAAAGCTCACAGCTCTATCTAGAGACACTGATTCCTGCAATGGGTGATGTGTTTAGCATGGCACAGTCTTACAGAGCTGAACCTTCAAAAACAAGAAGGCATCTTGCAGAGTACGTGACACTTACAAAACCAAAAGGCGTTCAGTTGAAATAGAAATTGCCATTTAAATATGGAATGTAGCAAAGATGGGAGAGTTAGGGCTTGTTTTTAAAACATATTTTATTTTGCTAACATTGTTTTCCAAGTGAAAGACTGTCTTCCATGCCTTGAGGTTCACATTGTTTTCTAAATAAAGGACTATCTTCAATGCCTTGAGGTTCACATTGTTTTCTAAATGGACTGTCTTCAGCTTTGAGGTTTACATTTATTTCTAAATGAAGGACTGTCTTTTATGCCTTAAAGCTTAGGTTGTTTTCTAAATGAAGGACTGTCTTCCATGCCTTGAGGCTCGCATTGTTTTCCAAATGAAGGACTGTCTTCCATGCCTTGAGGCTCACATTGTTTTCTAAATGAAGGACCGTCTTTAATGCCTTGAGGCTCGCATTGTTTTCTAAATGAAGGACTGTCTTCCATGCCTGGAGGCTCACATTGTTTTTTTAAATAAAGGACTCTCTTCAATGCCTTGAGGCTCGTATTGTTTTTTTAAAATGAAGGACTGTCTTCAATGCCTTGAGGCTCGCATTGTTTTTTTAAAATGAAGGACTGTCTTCAGTGCCTTGAGGCTCACATTGTTTTCTAAATGAAGGACTGTCTTCAATGCCTTGAGGCTCACATTGTTTTCTAAATGAAGGACTGTCTTCAATGCCTTGAGACTCGCATTGTTTTTCTAAATGAAGGACTGTCTTCAATGCCTTGAGGCTCACATTGTTTTCTGAATGTACTGTCCTTAGCTTTGAGGCTCACATTTATTTCTAAATGAAGGACTGTATTCTATGCCTTAAAGCTTCCACACCTTGAGACATATTGCATATATGGTACTAGTTTCACATTTTCATAAATCATGTCAGCACTTAATGATTTGATTTGATTCAAGAACCGACATCACAGCAAATGGGGCATTCCCATAAGTGCTCCGTCCCCATCTTTAGCAACCAGCGAAGAGTTCTAATACTAATGGTGACAGTAACATTCTGATTAAATGTCCGTCTTGCCTTTCCTCTGAGCCTCGAGTATCTGCTAGAACCTCTAGTCACTCTCCCCTGCATCAGTCTATCCATCTGCTTCTCTGAACTGTACACACTCTCCCACAAGGCACCAACCACATCTGCCATCATGTATCAGTATTCCACCAAGTTGTGCAGAGCCAGCCAGTTGTTCTATCCTTCGCTATTATGTGGAGCTCTCCCAATCTTTCTAACTTCATTCTCCAGCTCTCTTCTCCATGTGTTTTTTGGCCTTCCTTTATTCATATGCCTCTCCCTATATCATAGAGAGTTCTAGCATTCCAGGTGCCAATTCTTGAGGTTTTCCTAGCTGAGAGGAGGTACGTTGACGATTCGGACTTCTTACAGCTTTCTCCACACCATGTCATACTTCTTCTACTTGAAAAGCCTCCCCTCATCTTGGTTGGCTGGATTTTACTTGCTTCTCTTTTTGACTTATCCATGGTTGGTTAATTTTTGTGGCTATTGTTTTTACAGGATGAGGTAGCCAACCTCAAGCCCAACCCTACCCTTAGTCGCTTCTTACGACCACCCGAGACCTCTTAAGTGATGCTTGCCACTCTGCACAAAGTATGACGTGATTGATTTTATTTTTAAAAATAATGTTGCAACCTGTTTTGTTTTATAAATACAGATTTCTGGTGGGGTTATAAAATGTATTGATAATGAAAAACTATTTCGCAATTTCAGATATACTCACTGTGAAGCTGAATGTCCCTTCATCACATATGAAACACTGTTGGACAAGATTGAGGACTTGGTCTGTGATGTTGTTGATCGAGTGCTAAAATCTCCATATGGCAAAACTGTACTTGAGCTGAACCCCGTGAGTGTATTTTTTATAGATCCTAGCTAGCTAACAAACCAACGGAAAGATGAAAGGAAAGGGAGATAAAAGATGATAACACAGAAAGATTCTTGACAGCCTTTTGGTTTCGTCATGGGATTGAGGAGCCACTCAGCATGGCACTTCATGATTGTATCCTAGCTGTGGTAGCATAGTTTGGTTTCTGCTGTGATTGTCTTCAGTATTCAGCATAAGGTACCCTCTGGAAATTACTTTGTATTTATTTATACTAAATGTAACAGTGGAATGGAGTTAACCATGGGGAAGTTATGAAAATTTGATGTAGAAAGATTAACACACACACACAAAACAGATTAGAATAACTTCTTGAGAAATTCTGTCAGTTGCAGTGGAGGCCACGCCCACCATCACTGCTGAGTGAGAATAGGATTAAGGAAATCAGAAAGAACTTGAAGACCTGGGCACAGAAGTTTGAGATGGAAGACAACATGAGGAAAATGACAGCATCCAAAGATTTGTTAGACAAGCGCCGGAAGCTTATGGAGGACTATAGAACCTATAGAGAGGAAAAAGAGAAGGAATTTGCCAAACTAAAGCCAGTCCGCCTGGAATTGCGCTCAGGTGTCGACACAGACGAGCTCCACAGTCAGGAGGATAACTACACTGAAGAAACTATTGAATTCTTGGTCAAAGTGGAAGAGAAGGTGGTCGAAGAGTAGTCAGCAGAGTTCCACGTCTGCTTGCAGTGTTGTCTGTGTACAGTTTGTACACAGATAGAACTGGTCCGACTGACCACTCACTGACCTGCCTGCTACCACCTGCCATTTGCCACATCCTTCCAAAGGGACGCACCTGCTGCACTTTTATTGAGAGTTTCAAGCGTCAATCAAACATTAAATACTGCACCATAATTTTGGCTTCTTTTATCTCTTGGATCGGCATAAGCTGGTTCATTTATAATATACGTATATATTTTAAATATTGTGTGTGAAGGTACTTTGGCCAGGTTTTTTTTTTTTAAATTATTCGTTTTCAGTGAGTAAAACCTTACTCTCTTGCCTTTAAAGATTTTAATGCTTTTCTTGCATTATTTCAGTCTCTGTGTTTATATGTTGTATGTATATATACTAAGAGCCATGGTGTTTGATTGGAACCTTCAGAATGGATTGTTGAGCATAGATTACTATCATTTATTGATTCAAGCCAACCAGCGAAACAGCTATATCTCCTTGCCCCTGTTTGTTTTAGTAGGGTATTTTTCAGGTCTGTTCCCTGTACCATATAGGATATGTGGTACAGTTAAGTTAGAATGGAGTTTAGGTCATTCATTACTTCATTTCACATATTCTAATAATAAAAGATATTTAGATCCTGTTAAAAAAAAAAAAAAAAAAACTTCTTCTGTGCTTGTCCTTAAAGGGCGGTTGGCATGTTATGTTGTTTACAGTTGAGCTGCCATATATGCACCTTTTGGTCCCAAAAAACAACAAGTTTCAGCAAACTCTAATTGGTCCCCTTTTAAGAGATGCATGTATCTCCAGAAACCCACATAGGGAAGATCAGCATATGATTATGAATAAGTGTAGACTTATAATGAAGATCCAAAAGTCATGTTGTTTCTCACACAACCAAGTGTGTTTTCAAGTACAAGCAGCTGATATGATCAATGATTGTTCAGTGTAAAATTGGGAGAACTCACTTTATGACTCTAGGTTTGATCCTATATGGCTCAGCTTGACTCATCAGAATGACTAGGTTCACGAAGCTTGCAGTTCACAGGTGCAACAGTGATCCCTAAGGATCTCCATGGTAATTGCAGTCATGAAATGAATGACACAGTCCATGAGAAGAACCCACAGTTTTCAAGCATTGCACATGAAGAATGGTTACTGTGTACGTAGATGATCAGTTGAAAGTTAAGTAAAGGACTCTGTACTGTGCCATGCAGTGAGGCCTGTTGAAAATACCAATGGGTGTTTGTGGGTATTAGAAAGTATTTTGTTCAATGGGCACTCACTGAGTGATGGCAGACTATCTTGTTTAGTGGAAATTTAAGGACAATGAGGAAACTATCTTGTTTAGTGGACATTCAACGGGTGATGGATAAATATTCTGGCTTTTTTGTTGTTGTTGAGGAGTGGTTGGTATGAAAATGCATATCTCTAACCGGTTAACCTTATGTTCTTCTTAGGACTTCAAAGCTCCCAAGAAGCCTTTCAGGAGGATGAACTATACTGATGCCATTATTTGGCTTAAGAAAAACAATGTCACAAAGGAGGATGGCACCTTTTATGAGTTTGGTGATGTAAGCTGTTTTTTCCCTTTAAAACTTCCAGTGTTAAATTGTGTGTTATTTAACAAACTTTTGGTTGGAAAATTTCATTATTATTATTATTCTTTGCGTTCGATTTCGTATGCTCAGATCAGACCATTGGGTGGGTTGCATCTGTAAACTCGCATTTCAGTAAAAGGTCCTTCATGGTTCCCCATAGCTTGCTCTGCACACTTTGCTCTTGAACCCAGGTGTCTTTTCAAAGCTGTAGGTAGAGTGAGCAGGTCTGCAGAATGTACTAAGGTGTTTGTGGTCCTGTTTGACAGACAAACTGTAGGGACTGTACAATCTTTATTTTATGCATGTGATAGTTGAGCCTGCTGTGTCCTGTTCATAGACAGAAAATTATATGTTGTATGTTGCTTTCTGTAAATTTCATTTTAAAGAGCTTGGCCTGTTGTGTTGTATGTGGTGTGTGTGTATATATATATATATATATATATATATATATATATATATATATATATATTATATATATATGGCCTGTTGTGTTGTGTATATATATATATATATATATATATATATATATATATATATATATATATATATATATATATATATATATATATATATATATATATATATATATATATATGACTGTATGAGTATGGACAGAATGGAGTGGAAGAAATAACTGCAAGTCCTGTGTAACATTTAATGTCACAACATGATGGTGAGTACAAATATATTAATTCCTGTCTTTAGGTCAGACCTTCAGCCCCTGTGAACTTGTATGTTAATTGCAGTTCTTCATGGTTAACCATAACTTGCTCTGCATACTTTGCTGTTGAGGCTATGTTTCTCTTCCTAGTTGTAATCATAGTGGGCAGACCTGAGAATTTAAATCTGTATTGCACATCTTGATTTGACCAATCAAGATGGAATGGTTAGGTATTTTTAATTGAGCAGGGTCTTCTTATTTTGGGTAGTATAATCAGATATCTAGTTTTCTCAGATTATGGTGAAAAACATGTCCCCATGCAAGGTCTGGTCAGATGGAATCTTCTAGAATAAATCAACCTTACACATGTCAGAGTTGGACGCATTGACTAACTTCTTATTAGATAGGGCATAACTGTGTGTGACCTCACCTCCTCGAATTAAGAAGATTCACCAAATTTATTTTACTACGGGACTTGAAATACTGCAGTGATTAATAACAGGAATGACTGCAGTCAAGCTAGTATCTAGAAATAAGTCCGCAAACTCTTTCATTTCATGATTATCAGTGATTACATGCTACCTTAAATGTAGTTAATAATCCACAATGCATTACTAGTTATAATTAATTCCAGTGCGTATGATATGTTTGTATGCGTAAATGTGTGACATGCTGGCGTGTGTAGGCGTATTTGTGTATGTATGATTCTGTGTATGCATGGGTAACTGTATACGTTTGTGTGTATGTATCTGTGTGCAGGCGTGTGTCTGTGAGTGTGTCTGTTTGTCTGTATGGTGTCTGGGTGCTTGTCTGTAGGTGTGCCTATTAGCGTGTCTGTTTTTGTGTCTCTGTGTTGGTTCGTCCATATGCGTGTTTTTATGTGCATATGTATGTGTCTGTCTGCGTGTCAGTCTGTGTTGTGTGTCTGTGTGTGTGTTTATTTTATGTCTATCTGTATATGTAGCTGCGTGTGTGTCCGTGTGTATGATTGTATGTGGATATGTGTGGGTGTGGCTTAGCTGCATGTTTGTCTGTGTGTGTGTCTGTCTGTTTGTGTGTGTCTATGCTGTGTCTGAAGGTTTTTCTGCGTGTGTGTCTGTATGTCTATGCCTGTGTGTGTCTGTGTGTCGTTTCGTGTGTATTTGTATGTTCATCTTTTTGATAATGTGTGTGTGTGTGTGCGTCTGCATGTGTGTGTCTGTGCGAGTATTTGTGCGTCTGTGGGTGTGTTAGTATGTGTTTGTGTATGTCTCTGTGTCAGTGTGTGTGCCAATTATGTGTCGGTAGGTGTGTATGGCTGCATGTGTATCTGTGTCTGTCTGTGCGTGGCTTTGTGTGTATCTGTGTGAGTCTCTATCGGTGTGTCTATTATATAATGTCTGCGTGACTCTGCTTGTGTCAGGTTATGCGTCTGCGTGTATGTCTGTGTGCGTATGTGTGACTGTGCGTGTCTGTGTGTGTATATCTGTGTGCCCGTGACTGCATGTGTGTGTGTCTGTATGTGTCTGGGTTGTATGTGTGTGTGTTTTAGAGCGTGTGTATGTATGTATTTATGTATGTATGTGAGTTTGAATGTATGTATGTATGTATGTATGTATGTATGTATGTATGTATGTATGTATGTATGTATGTATGTATGTGTGTGTGTGCATGTATGTATGTATGTGGATGTATGTGTGTACTGGGTGCCTATGTGTTTGTGTGTAAGTGAGTGATTGGGCTTGTGTGTGTATGTGGGTGTGTGTGTTCGAGCGTGAGCGTGCACACATATTTTACTACCCATGCTTTTGTTTTTGACTTCATATCCATAATATGCATATTATTACATGAATATAACATGCTTCATTGATGAAATACAACTGCTGTGTGAAAAATGGAAGTTTGGAAGGGCCGAATGTAAGACAGGTTTGCGTGCCTAATTTGTAACCCTTTGAAAGTAAAGTTCGTTCGTTCCACTAAACTGTAACTAAGTAGCTTAACGAAGCTGGGAAATAAATAAAAAAAAATAAAAAACATGTATGCACAGAGAGAGAGAGAAAGTGAGAGAGAGAGAGAGAGAGAGAGAGAGAGAGAGAGAGAGAGAGAGAGAGAGAGAGAGAGAGAGAGAGAGAGAGAGAGAGAGAGAGAGAGAGAGAGAGAGAGAGAGAGAGAGAGAGAGAGAGGGTTGAATGGTCATTTTCAACCTTTATCAATGAAAACTCTTTTTGCCCTCCTTCTAAAGCTTTTTAAGTCACAGTTTCTTCTTCTTCTGCATTTCTATACCCCAATGGAGCAAAGGTCCATAACCAACTCACACCAAGTCATTCTATCCTCCCCATCTTTCTAACTTCATTCTCTAGCTCTCTTCTGCATGTGTTTTTTAACCTTCCTTTATTCCTATGCCCCTGTGGGCTCCAATGCAAAGATATTCTAATTATGCTGTTCTCCAGTTTTATCATGTGTGTCCTATACAACACCAGCGTCTTTTCCTCACCTCTTGGTCCACTAGAGCTTGCGAATGCGTAGTTCTCTCCCGAAGCTCTACATTAGTTATTATATCATACCATTTAATTCCCTCTATTCTGCGCAGGCACCAGTTAATGAATGTCTGTAATTTATTAGTAATTGCCTTTGTTCTCCATGTTTCCACCCCATACAAAAGTACTGATTTGACATTAGAATTAAAATTTTTAAGTTTAGTATTTCTTTTAATTTTTTTGCCTCCGCAAATTCGCTAATGCTATGAAAGCCCCTTTTGCCATTTGTATTCTTATTTTAATATCTCTATCAGTTTCCCTCAAACTACTGGACGTAAATTGCCTAGAGAAACCACACAACAGCCAGGGGCTGTTAGGGTTGGTTCTGCAAATTCCTGTAAAGGATGCGCAACTAACTTAACATCAGTTCCCCTATCTTTATCTACATTACTGCCCAAATAGGTGTACGACTCAATGTCTTGGAGTGGGGTGCCATTAAGAGAAGCCACATTACTATTTGCCTTATTTATTCTCATTATCTTTGTCAAGTCACAGTTTAGTGGATTAAACTACAGTGGAGTCCACTAAAGTCAAACTCGGATAAGTCAAATTTAGGTTAAGTCGACATGACCAGCTTAGTCCTGGCAATTTTCTCTATTGTGTGTGCTGTCTGGATAAGTAGAAATCCTGATAAGTGGAAGCATTTTCTTAGGTCCCTGCGACTTCTTCTTATCCAGACTCCACTGTACTTCAGTGTATAGAGTGGATGAGGAAGCACTAAATGAATGAAATACTTTGCTTAAATCATGTGTGACCAGTTAAAGAAAAAACATTGAGAATGCTGGTTGAATATTTAGTCCTGAATTAGTAATCAAAGAATTTTTTATAGATATGCATATAAATGCTTCTTATCCAGTGTTTTTGTGTTTTAATTAAAGGATATTCCAGAAGCTCCAGAACGTAAAATGACAGACACTATCAATGAGCCAATCATGTTGTGTCGATTCCCGGCAGAAATCAAGTCATTCTACATGCCACGCTGCAAGGAAGATAACAGACTTACAGAATCGGTAGGTTAAGTCAACAGGTGTTTATTGAGTCTGTTTGTGTTTTTAATGTAGTGATAAAAGCCTTACCAGTGTAATTGTATGCTCACTTTCTAAAACAGTTTTTTTTTTTAAAGTGCCCTTTTCCACACTTCAGGCATATTGAGAGCATAAGGCTAAACCTATACTATATAGACCAAACGGCACTCAGTCGATGATGTGGTCAGCAACATGATGGCCACCTTTACTTCCCTGGACTTTCCCTGGTACCCATTTAAGGCTGGGAGCCAATACGTGTGTTGCTAGTACCATCTTTATGTAGACCAGTCAGCACTTGGTGGGTAGTGTCAACATCATGCTAGTTGGCTTTACTTCCTAGGAGTTATCCTGGTCCCCATTTAAAACTGGTTTGCCCTGGTCATTTATTAAAATCTGCCTCAGTATGGATATCTCCTCATTCTTCTTTGCGTTCACCGGCTGTAAACTCTAGTGGAAAGTTCTAGTTGTTTGTCCACCTCTGGACTTTTATAGTTTTGTTCAGTTTTACAGATCTGACTTATTTGTATGCAGACTGTAGGTTCTTTGCCTCTCAAGTAGATGCACTCCAACTTTGAAGGAGGCTGCAGTTAGAGACTCTTACAACATGCTTGTTGGGGAGACTGTGAATCCAGGGCCTTCTGATTTTCAGACAAACGCTGCACAACAATAATAATTTGTACTGTCATTGAAGATTTCAGAGATACCTGTTGTTTGTGTTTGGCACAGGTTGACTTGCTGATGCCAAATGTGGGTGAGATTGTTGGTGGATCCATGAGGATTTGGCAGCAGGAGGAGCTGGAAGCTGGCTTCAAGCGAGAGGGCATCGACACTAAACCTTACTACTGGTATATTGACCAGGTAGGAACTCGTATTTACGTTTGCTCTGTTTTACAAACCTAGCAGAGGTGGAGTCAGTGTTTTAATTGCATTTTGCCTTTTCCTTATTACAAACTTCAGAAAACAGTCTCACGATAAATGTTTTGACCCATCAAAGAGACAAACAGCCGAGAGTGGAGAGGGAGAGGCAGCAGTGAAATTCATAATCTGTTTGAATCACTAAGGATTACTGGTATGAAGGTTGGAATGATAAAAATTGATTGCAGCAGAGAGAAGAAGCTGCGTACACAGTCACTTAGACCAAGAAGATTGAGTTGAGGGGGGGGGGGGGGGGGGGGGGCAGAAATCTGTAGATATGGTGATTAGGTTAATACACATGTTTAACCACACACTTACCCTTTTTATTATTGTTTGTGAGTTTGCTAATTTTGTGTGTATTTATTGCATTTATATATCCCCCCCCCCAAATGCAGCAAGTGAAGGAAAAATATGCTGTGGTAAAATTAACTTTCATAGCCCATGGTCACTGTATTTGTTATTTGTGAATCTGTATAGGCTGCAGTTTTCCATGTTATTTTTGTCCTTCATTCACGACACCATGAATGCTGGTTTGCCTAGTGTCATGAAAGTCCGGGGTTTTGTTTCATGTGGGCATCGTTCAGGTAATGAGTGCAATTTTGTATGGAGATCCCTAGGGATCATCACAGCTTGCAATTCTGTAGGGAGAGGTACCGAGCCATATGGGATAACCTGTATTAAATTGATCTTCTAAACCAAGGCTTGTTCAGTTACATTTACTCACGGGCCAAACTTTTGGAAATAGAAATCACCAAGGGCCAGAGGCCCAATCATCAGTTTAGAGAGCTCATTAACACAATTCAACATAGAGAGCTTATTAGTACAATACCACATAGAGAGCTCATTAATACAATACAACATAGAAAGCTCATTAGTACAATACCACACAGAGAGCTCATTAAGTCCAGAAGTGGATGAACAACCAGAACTTTTAGCCAGAGTTTACAGCTGGTGAACGTAAAGGAGAAGAAGAAGAAGACAATTTAACATAGAGAGCTCATTAATAAAATACAACATAGAAAGCTCATTAATAAAATACAACATAGAGAGCTCATTAATAAAATACAACATAGAAAGCTCATTAATAAAATACAACATAGAAAGCTCATTATTACAATACAACAAAGAGAGCTCATTAATAAATACAACATAGAGAGCTCATTCAAAAAAATACAACTTAGAGAGCTCATTATTACAATACAACCTAGAGAGAGCTCACTAATACAATACAACATAGAGAGCTCACTAATACAATACAACATAGAGAGCTCATTAAAACATTACAACAAAGAGAGCTTATTAATACAATACAACATAGAGAGCTCATTAATACAATACTACATAGAGAGCTCATTACTACAATACAACATAGAGAGCTCATTAATACAATACAACATAGAGAGCTCATTAATACAATAAAAGTGCAAGGCCTCTGTGAGTCATATTTGGCCCATGGCCAGCCTGTTAATTAACCCTGCTCTAGACTTAACTTTAACCCATGAAAGCTGATAACTTGAGTTAACTGTAGTGATAAGATGATGTCCATGTAGTAAGCATATACCTCTCATTATAATAATATCAGCTGATGTATTTTTGTGTCCCCAGAGAAAGTACGGCACATGTCCTCATGGTGGCTATGGTCTGGGAATTGAGAGATTTCTCTGCTGGATTCTCAACAGATATCACATTCGTGAAGTGTGTGCTTACCCTCGCTTCATAGGCAGGTGCACCCCATAGACAGCTGTACAGTAAACATTTATTCTAACCACAGCTGGTTATGGACTATACATTTCTTGAACATTCATTACTTGTACAACATTGAATTCTTCATGAGCTTACACATATTTAGTAGTTGGAAACATAGCCGAAAAAAAGCAAGCGGATAAACACAGATTGTGAAAATATGCACAAATTTAAAGAATAAAACTGGATATAAGTAAACCAGCGGGTCATCTCTAGGTGAAGGTCTGGCTAAAACTGTAAAGCTTTTAAGGGATATCATGGCATAAATAAGAACTATTTAGAACAATGTTGGCAACCTTTTAGAAATGTGCCAAGAGTTAAGTTACAAAATCTCTGTGTGCAAACCTAACTACACCATATGTTAATTACACAAATTATTGAAACACAATAATTTGGTCTTTTAAAAAGTTATGTTCTATTTCATTTTTATAAAATCATTACTGTACTTGAGTTTTTTAGGGGGTTATTACAAATTGTTGCCTGCGAGGCATGATTAACACACAAGGCATAGATTGTAGAGGCCTGCGATTGCTAGAGTTTGGTCAGATACACACTTCTGGATGTAGCCAGCATTTTCTTGATTATAAAATGCTGACCAAATGGAAGGGAGGTTAGAAAAAATTTATAAAAACATTTAAAAAAATAATGCGTTTTATTTCTATTAATCATTTAGCCTTTTTTTAAACATTCATTTGACATCAGTTTTAATAATTTTAAGTAGCTAAAAATAATGTTTTAGCATGTTTCTGACATGGACCATTTGGTAGGGTATTCTGCGTTAATAATTTTGTAATCTACACTTAAATGAATATAAAGTAGTAATTTCATAATTTTTAAAATCTTTAGCCATTATAGCCTTTATTAAGCCATAACCTATCATTGGGCATGAAGGACTTTTCCTGTTTGAGACCTTTTTACCTGGTGGCCCCCCTACTCCTCACGCCCAGATTGACATTTAAAAAAATGTCTCCCACTCATTTTAGCACTATGATTTTGTGGTGCATTTTTATTGTCTTAGATAGTATTACAGTTACTATATATGACTGATACTTTTAGTATTTGTATTAAAATTGTAGTATTGACTTAGAGATGCTTATTTAGAAAGTTGTTGATTAATGAAATTAATAATAATATATTATACTGTGCATAAGTTTATTTACTTACAGCTAGGCCTACTTACAACTTATGATTAATAATATTTAATAATTATTTTCTATATATACTTATATATACTAGCCAGCAAACAGATCACATGGGATATAGATACATTGATAAAATATAATGTTCTTTTTCCTCTTACCTTATGCTGCTCCATGAAAACACAACCTAAATCCAAAGCGAATCACAAAGGAGCTTATTTAATCATTTTACTCCATGAAAACATATTACTTAATCACGAATTAGGTATGAGCGGTTACCTTAGATTATTTTGAAAAAGTAAATAAAATATCGAGCAGTGACTAGTTAAGAAGAAGAGGGGGAAGACTGTGGTGAAATGCCCTCATCACACATAAAATAAAAGAATAACTCGCAAAGACTGAAAAAGGGATTATGTTAAATCAGTAAGAAGGGCGCTTATTTTCAGTTGGTTATCAAACAATATGGGGGTCTCTGTAGCAAAGTGGTCAAGCCGTTAACCTCGCGCTCGGAAGGTTGCGGTGCGTTCATTTTAAAACTGCATTGTTCGGCTCCAAAATGCATTTTTTGGGGGGTAAGGGGGACCTCTGGGGGCTGTTGCTGGAGCTACGGTATTCAGGCTTCGTGCTAAGCTCTTGGCATGCGGCTAGCCGGTCACAGTTATGTGGAGAAAGACCAAGCCATATGAAACCAGTAACGATGCAATGAAGTCAATCCACTTGCTATTGAACATTTTTAAACAGTGGAATAAAGCAAATTTCGGTCAGATGTACACACCCACATACACAAGTTACAGTGTGAGAAAAAGCATTTTTAAACAAAAATAAGAAGAGATACGTCATAACACAAAGAATTGTTACAAAAGTATGCATATTACAGTATACATCTTGCAAGACTCACTGGATAATAATCACTAATTCATAAGGTATATAATTAATACTGATTAATTGACTCATTCTTATATGTTAATTAGGTTTGCATCACATCATATTTTTAAAAAGGCAACAACTTTAGTTAGAGCTTGCTGCCCTGAATGCAATGACATATGGTTGCTAAGGGCTTCAGCAAAAAACATAAGAGTTATAGACATTAGGCATACAAATTTTGTCACTTTAGGTCCAGTTTTCACTTGTGAACATACGGCATCTTGTTTCTATTATTTTCCATTACAACAACTTTTGGGAGCACTTTCTGTCACTGAAATGTGAATATCTCCATTTTAGAATTGACATACAGACTTCATCGAGGTACCATTGGACTCTGTTTTTCAACCTCTATTCTTGGTTTAAAAGTAAAAACTCCAATATATAAATTTTGACTAAAATCCCTACAGTTAATTTCACAGCTAGGGTTTGCTCGGTAAAATATTAATATTGCATTAAAATAACATATTTTAGACAAAAACAAATACTGAATCTGACAGAAGACATACTGTGTAATGTGTGTAAAAACGAATGTAATGACTTATAATAATAAAAATGTTCACTTTGTCAGTATAATTTTTTTGTTTTTTTTTTCCGCTTGTTTCTTTAAACTTAATGAACAAAAAATTTCATTATAGCTTTTAACGATAATGTATCTGTGTGTGAATCAGGGCAATTCAAGTTAGTTTACTCGGGGGCCTAACTGCTGAAATTGGCATCGTCTCAGGCCAAAGGCCCATGTCCCAGCATTGGAAGACTACTAATACAATACAAATAGAAATGATCCACGGGCCACTTGCTCTGCGGGCCACAAGTTGAATAGCCCTGGTGTGATTGGTATCTGTCTGTCTGTTTTTTTTTTAACCATCTGTGAATTTGTAGGCCAAACTGTTATTGAAATACAGTATATATATATATATTATAATTTTTGTTTGATGTTGTTTATTTTGTATGAAGCTAACAGATCAGTTTGTCTATGTGCAAAGTTGAGTTCTGTAGAATGTGTAATGCAGATCTCAGTAACATGAAATCATATTTACATTATCAGTATAGTTTTTGTTTCCTTTCTTGTGTAGCAGGGCTATTTAATTAGCTGCTTATAGTCCAAATGTGCCTGCGGAAACCTGACATTTGGCCAGCAGGTCACTGCCAGTTGTACTGATCTTTCTGTTCTGCGGCTCGGGCTTTTCCAGCTCAGCATTTTGACCTGTGAGTAAACTTAGTTGAATAGCCCGGATATAAGATTTTTATCATCATCATCAACAGGCCCATTGCAAAATGCCAATACCATCACTGACTCACAAAGAGAAGTGACTGCCCACATCAGAAAGAAACAAATTACATACTTGGGCCATGTGATGAGAAAGAGAAAACGAGTACATTGTGACAGTAGAAAAGGAGGGGAGGACAGGCAGAGGAAGACTGAGAGAAAAGATGCTGGACAGTTAGACATCATCCCACTGAGAATCATCTGTGTCAGAGTTGACTGAAAAGACACAAGATAGACATGACTACGAACACCACATGGAATGGACTTTAAGAAGATAAGTGTCCTTCTTAAGCGAGTTCGTTAATAAGATTCTATTGTAATTAAATTAATCCAAAATGTAATGAAAGATAAAGGCAATAGTCTCAAATAAATAAAGATAGTTTCACTGAGTGTTAGAGATATGCATGTAAAATGCAAAGGATAGGCTTTTTTTTTTAGCACAAGATCTGTGCATGTCAAAGAAACTGACTGACTGACTTTCTACCCCAACAGGACATCACACACGCGATAAACACTCGATGACACAATGTGCCACCATGTGGATGAGGATCACCGTGGAGAGGTCCCAGAAACCGCATTCAGCCCTTAGGCCATATTTAAGGCCAGGCTATATTGCGACCCCTGACAAAAGACAGAATAGGGGGGGGGGACACACACACACACACGGGCACGCACAGACACACACGTGTATATATATATATATATATATATATATAATTACTCTAATTCCAAATAACCGTGATCGAAATCCACTGCTGGCTGCGTGGATTTTTATTATGGCATAGGGCCGATGATCGCCGCAGGATTCGCTCCCTGGCGGGGCCGGACTTTTTCAAAAATGACATTGGCGTTTAGAGTGGGTACCGGGTGCAGTCCCGGGAAGTAAAGGCGGCTGGTGTGATGCTGACCACATCACCTACCGATTGGTCTATAAAATATAGGTTAAGCCCTATATGCCCTATACGCCTTAAGGCGTGGAAAAGGGTCCTATACTTTACTATGGGGCGTCGCAGGTCGACTAAGCTCAAAATGGGTACCAGGATGTATATCCTGGGGAGTTGAAGACGGCCGGCGTAATGCTGACCACATTGGTGCCGATTGGTCTGTAAAAATATGGGTGCTTTTCCCATATGCCGATGCGCCTTAAAAAAGCCTTAAAAGGGATCTTTCCTCTTTGCTTTGCTCATATTTTTAAAAAAAAAAGTGGGGGGGGGGGGGGGACGCATGAAAAAAGTTTGGAGACCACAGGATAGATGCTAACAGTTCCTGTAGCATACTGATTATAAACTCGTCGTTCTCTTCTGTTCATCCGTCCCTCCTTGCCTGATCCACACATAATTCCTCGTTCACACATTCTTACACGTTATTTCATCTAATCCCGTAGCTTCTATCGGCATTCGATCATAAATTATGTTCAGAATTAGAAGTTTGTTAAATGTTTAATTAAGAATCGACATCACAGCACTCGGGACACTCCCATAAGCGTTTCGTTCCCGTGTTCCGCAGAAAGCGAATTCCAATTCCGATGGCACCATTAACTGTCTGATTGTACATCAGTCTCGCCTGTTCCTTGAGTGTTGAGCGTCCGCCAGATCCCCTGGTAACTTCCTGCAGCGCCTTTTCGCCTCACATCGCAATGACCTGTTCGTGCCTCCGCACAGTTC